TTGATCATTCGCCGTGAGCTCAGATTCGAGACCACGAAGCCTCGTGTTTTATTAGCGCTGAGCCTTTAATCTGAGGAAGACCTGCATGACGAGGCCCTCCTCACTCGTGTCCTACAGACATTCTGGGTGTTCAGGGGGCCGTTGAGGTCTCTCACCTAACCAGACCAGAAATATGCTCAAATTAGTTTGTAAAAATGGGCTGATGCAACAATTCTTCAACGTTTTGTCGGCTGTGAAACATCCAAAATAAAAGTTTGCGTTTACATAATATATAAATAAATTAAAAGTCTTAAATATATACATGCATGTGTGTGTATTTATATATTAAAACAATTATACACAGTACACACATTTATTATGTAAACACAAACTTTTTTTTTTGGATGCGATCAATCGTTTCACAGTCCTAGTCACAAGTTAATTTCATTGTGTTCAATCCACTTACATTTGTAAAACGAAAGTTTAATTTGAGAGTGGGACTATCCTTTTTGTTGACATAACTTACTGAGATCTGTAGTTCCCAGCATGCACTATTTTACGTGTTGATCAGTAAATGGAAAGACACACTTATAGACCGTTTGCTGATCATTTGATGCATAATGCACACTTTAGGACTTTTAAAGACATTATCTGATTGGTTGAATTCTACAGGTTTCCGTGAGAAGAGTTTGTCAAGTTCTTTAAGGATACAGTCAGAAACAAAGCTGTGGTGATGCCAAACCCCCTTATGGAAAAAGAAAGCCGCCATGTTTCCTAGGGCTGGGTAATAAATATCGATTTCTCGATATTAATCGATTCTCATTTTTACAATTTATCGAAATCCAATCAGCGTTTCAACCGTGGAAAGACGTCAGTTAAACAATGTCATGTATCGTCATATGTTCAATGTCATGTATCGTCATATTTACCTCAGAAAACCCACATAAAATCGTTAGTCAGCTAGAAAAAATAACTCTAGAAAGGAGCATTTTGCTAAATATATACACCATATTACATATGCATTATAATCTTAATGTTCGTCAATATTTAATGCATATTTGAATAAATCTGGCCACCATTTAAACGTTTATATTTCATATAATCTTCTTATTATAAAAATAAATAAAAGTGTAATTTAAGTGTTTGTATAGCTACAAAACAGTTCATCATTACCTTCATATTAGGCTAATGAAGCCTAGTAGTCTACAACTAGACTCCCATAGTTTACAGCATTAGTTAAGAGATTTGATTTCTTTGAGAAAATTTGCCAATTATTGTAACTGATATCCACAATAATCAATATTGAATCGAAATCGAAATCAAATTGCAAGCTTGTGAATCCAAATCGAATCGAATTGTGAAATTTGTGTCAATACCCAGCCCTAATGTTTACACAGTGTTCGTAAATGAATAATATTAGATGACGCCGGTCTGGACTTTACATTTTAACGCCCTAAACATGATGCGGAACAAAACAAACTCTGATTGGTTGAATTCTCCAGGATTTCTGGGAGACGTGTGTGGCTTAAGCTTTTGAAAATCATTTCAAAATCATTTGAAAACATTTTTTTTAATATACTTTTATCAATATACAACTGTTTTATTTGAACTGTTTTCAACATTGATAATAATCAGAAATGTTTCTTGACAGGATATTAGAATAATTTCTAAAGGATCATGTGACACTGAAGACTGGGGTAATGATGCTGACAATTCAGCTTTGATCACAGGTTGTTGATTCTGTCTTCAGATGTCTTTTGAAACTCAAACCCTGACAAGGCCAGTAAAGACACGTCAAACACCAGACACCAAAATACAAGGATAGACGGGCGGACATAACAAGACGTCTCCGGGAATCATGTCCAACCTTATCCTGAAATTCTGATGAGATACTTTGTTTTCCACAGACTCAGTTTCTCTTTTATACCGCAGGATTTCTCATTGTCTAAGATAATTTTGCTAATGAGTCATTAGTTGTCATCCAGTAAGAGTACAAAGCTATAGACTGTGAATTGTACGATTATTTGAATTCATGTTTGATTGGCAGACTAACTTTTAATTGCAGATTTCTTCAACTGTAGAGGCACATAAGAATATGACGTATGAACACTTGTTTTGGCCATGGAATATATATCACAATTTTGACTTTCCCCCCCAACAATTCCAAGTGTGAGTCCAAGACTCACATTTCTGACTTCAGTTGTGAGATATAAACAGTAAAACATTTTCACCTTACTCATCTTAAAAACTTAAGTTCAGTTGCTCTCCCAAAATTTCAATAATTTCAATTTAAATTACATTAAACAGGCTTTAAAAATTGAGTTGAATCTCCTATAACTTGTAAAAATGTCGAAATTGCATTAATATCAAAATGAGAACATGTTGCCATGATTTTTTGGTCATATAATTTTTACAGTTTCACAATTGCGAGTTATAAAGTCAGAATTGTAAGATTTAAAAGGTACAATTACCTTTTTTATTCTATTGTTCCGTGGTGGAAACAATAAGCTTCCAATCCATACATATGAGATTATTGGGGTCTTTTAAAAAAATATATACATTTGATTTAAGAAAGCTTAACAATTTACTGTGTATGAGTTGTTCAGTTTATTTAAATGTACAAAGATTTTAAGTTTCTCTTGGGAAGCAAGTAAAAACCCATGCAAAAAAATAATTAACAAAATAAAACAAGTTGTGGAAAACCAGGAGACTGGTATTTGCTCTTCATTTCTAAGAGACACAATAGAGTTATTAAAGAGATCATCTGTGCTTTCTCTTTCCTGCGGGTGTGAACCTCCGTCGAGTCGGTCGAGTGACTCTGAAACACAAGCCAGAGGCAAAAGAGAGAGAAAGCGCAAAGGCTCACGAGAACGAGTAAGATCCTGCAGATTTAAAGGTGGTATCACGGAGGAGCGGCGGTCCTCAGGGGCCGATTTTTAAGGCTTATTAATATCTCATGGCTCTGTCCCACTGACTTCTGCCCTCCTCATTATAATACCCCACCACCCAGCCAATCAGTGTGTGCGGTTGATACCGGAGTGAACGCCGGGGGTCAGGAGGGCGGGTCTGGTGAATATTAATATTTCTAACTGCATAATTCTATAGTGCCCAGAGGTCAGCGACGGGGGAAGGACCCTGCGGCAGGACTGTCTAACCCACTTCAGAGATGAGCATGAGCACGCTGAGAACCCTGTTCCAAACTCTAGTGCGCTCCCTACCTAGACAGCATTTTAAGGCATCATAGATTAAAGTACCTTCTTTTAGCCAGGCGTCACATGTATCCTTCACCAAAAATCCCATGCATTGCAATAAATTCTATAGTGCCAAAAATCTCATGTATTGCAATAAATTCTATAATCAAATGCATTGCAATAAATTCTATAGTGCCAAAAATCCCATGCATTGCAATAAATTCTATAATCCCATGCATTGCAATAAATTCTATAGTGCCAAAAATCCATGCATTGCAATAAATTCTATAATCCCATGCATTGCAATACATTCTATAGTGCCAAAAATCTCATGCATTGCAATAAATTCTATAATCCCATGCATTGCAATACATTCTATAGTGCCAAAAATCCCATGTATTGCAATAAATTCTATAATCCCATGCATTGCAATAAATTCTATAGTGCCAAAAATCCCATGCATTGCAATAAATTCTATAATCCCATGCATTGCAATAAATTCTATAGTGGCAAAAATCCCATGCATTGCAATAAATTCTATAGTGCCAAAAATCTCATGCATTGCAATAAATTCTATAATCCCATGCATTGCAATAAATTCTATAGTGGCAAAAATCCCATGCATTGCAATAAATTCTATAGTGCCAAAAATCTCATGCATTGCAATAAATTCTATAATCCCATGCATTGCAATAAATTCCATAGTGTCAAAAATCTCATGCATTGCAATAAATTCTATAATTCTATTCTATACATTTAGAAAATGTAAAAAAAAAGTTTTTTAAAAAATGTGTGCGTTTCATGTTTGATTTATGTTGAGTGCTATTGGCTATACTGTAATAATTTTGTACTTTTTATACTGCTTTTGATATTTTTCTCTCTTGTACAACAAAGAGCGATGCTGATATCACTACACAGGGTGTGTGCTTTTATAATATGCTGTCCAGGTTTGGAACAGAACGTCAAGCCAACATATAATCTATATAATCTCAAATCTGTAGCATTATTAAGTTTCCTTCTAAGTACCTTCTTTTATACAAGTATCTCTCACAAAAATCCAAGAATGCATTGCACAAAGATCAGTAAAAATATTATCTGAAAATAATTTTTTGTTGTTGTTTTTTTTTAACTAAAAATGTTACTTTTCTATTATATTGCTTTTGTTGTTTGTGCTGCTTTTGATATTTTTTATCTCATGTAAAGCCTCTTTGAGTACCTTGAAAAGCGCTTTACGATTACAAGTGTATATATTTCATGCAATACTGAAAAAATATCAATAAGAAACACTTCACTCTATTCATTAAAACAAGTGAAATCGTGCATTTCAGCTGCACTTATTACTTAATCCATTGATTTTGAGTCACTGATATGGCGTTGCTAGTGCAATGCTTCCCTGTTCGAATGCTTCCAACATGCAAATACTGAGTTCATGTGATCAAAATGAAGCATGCTAAAGTGTGTTTTTCGTTGCCTATAAGCATTTGTAGTATGCACTTTCTACTATTATATTCCAGAGAGAGACTTATGAAACATCCAGCTCATGATTGTAATTGTGTATATTTGTTAGTGCACACACACTCATCTCCTCTGCATGTGGTACAGCTTTACCAGGAATGCTAACTAAAGTGTTATAGGGTGGTTTAGATTTAGCAGAAACAAGCTCCATCTGGACGCAAACAATCGCAGCTGTAACCCCCGGGAGCTGACAGCCCTCATGCAGCCGTCCCGCACCAGCACACACACGCACGTAACACACACCAGTGACACCAAACGCTGGTGTACAGCACTTCTGCAGGTCCTGAGGATCTGGTTCCAGGTCAGTTGCGGGGAGAAAGACGAGAACGTGTTTGTTTCGTGTGCTGGTACGGGACAGACATTACTCACGCTAACGCTGGGAAGAAAGTCGTTTGTAGATCCTGCTTGAACATGAACACGCAAACAAAAATGAACCAATTCGTACGTGCACGGCGATTTGTTCCGAGATCTGTAAATTCAATTACAAAGGAGTAAGTTATGATCATCTGTAAGTGGGACGGTCCTCGTGTCCCTAAAACTATATTTCTTATTCTCTTCGTTATTTTTTTTTTTTTTTGCAGCGGCCCGCCAGAGGAATTCTGGACTCCAGGTCTGTCAGTGTCATGGAATAATTACACATAAATATTCATGCCATGTTTCTATGCAAAATAGCATCTGTTTTGAAATAACAAACCATCTGTTTTTGGGACTTTTAGGGACAATTGTGATAAAGAGCTCTTGTGATATGCAGGATCCATTTTGATCTGAAGAGACGGATGTTTTGGTTACGCTTCTGGATGTCGAGCCATGTTTCAGTAATAGATGATCCTAATCGCTCCATGAAAAGCTCATAAAACAAGTGCAGATAGTCACTGTCTGATGCCTTTCTTATTTTACAGTCCTGTTCCGCATTTACATGCATACAGGGTATTTATTATTATAGCAATTACAATAACTGGGTTATATAAACTAGGTACTAATAAACCTAACCTTAAAGGAGTAGTTCACTTTTCAAAAAACTTTTGCTGATAATTTACTCATCCACATCTTTCTTTCTTCAGTCGAAAAGAAATGAAGGTTTTTGACGAAAACATTCCAGGATTTTTCTCCATATAATGGACTTCAATGGGGTCCAAACAGTTCAAGGTCCAAAAGACACTTTCAGTGCAAATTTCAAACTGTTCAAAGGTCTTTAAACGATTTCAGACGATGAATAAGGGTCTTATCAAGTGAAACGATCGCTCATTTAAAAAATAAATAACAAAGTTTAAGTTTTATAAGCTCAAATGCTAGCCTTTGTGACTCTCCGTTCGAACTCGTTCAACAAAATGAACGAATCTTTTTCCGAGTCAACTCGTTAGTTTCATTCAATGACTTTGAATTTTCTTTTTTCATTTTGATGAACGAGTTCAAACAGGAGAGTCACGATCGCGCATCACAGAACAGAGCAAGGCGAGCATTTGTGCTTATAAAACTTAAACTTTGTTATTTATTTCTTAAATGAGCGATGTTTCGCTAGATAAGACCCTTATTCATCGTCTGTAATCATTTAAAGCCCTTTGAACAGTTTGCACTGAAAGTGTGAAACCATTTGGACCCCATTGAAGTCCATTATATGGAGAAAAATCCTGGAATGTTTTCATCAAAAACCTTCATTTCTTTTCGACTGAAGAAAGAAAGACATGGACATCTTGGATGACATGGGGGTGAGTAAATTATCAGCAAAAGTTTTTTCAAAAGTGAACTACTCCTTTAACCCATGTAGTTACCTTATATTACCAGTACTACACATACAGTACTAGGGGTGGGCGATATGGAAAAAATATCATATCACGATTTTTTTAGGAAAATCACGATCACGATTTTTTATCACGATTCTTTTTCACGATTCTGTTTTTTTTTCTTTGTTATTAAAAAAATAAGACAAGATAAACATTACACAAATTAATATTCATATTACATAAATAGTGCTTTATTTTTTCAGATGCAGTAGGTGTATTTAGCAGTAGCATTGAAGTAATTAAATGAACAAATATGAAATTAAACACTACATAGACTTCACTGAATAAATTGATTCTTATTAAAGATATATTAAAGTTCTCAGTCAGTGAGTGATTTTCTCCTTGTGTTTTTTTTTTTTTTTTTTTTATTAACACTAAAGGGATAGTTCCTTCAAAAATGAAAATTGTCTTAATTTACTCTCTCAAGATGTTTTAAACCCAAATAAGTTTCTTTCTTCTGTTGAAAATAAAAGTTATTTTGAATAATGTGGGTAACCGAACAGTTGCTGGTCTCCTTATAGTTTTTTTATAGGTTCTCTCCTGGAAGTTAATGGGGACCAGCAACTGTTTGGTTACCCACATTAAAAAAAATTGTCTTTTGTGTTCAGCACAAGAAAGAAATTAATACAGGTTTGGAACAACATTAGAGTGAGTAAATAATGACAGATTTTTTTTTTTTTTTTTTTTTTTTTTTAACTATCCCTTTAAGTACAAGCGGCAGTAGGCTACTATTTATTCCTGTTGCTTTTAGACCAGCACGCGACGCGTTTAATATAGACGCATATTACACCAGATATTCTCACAAATGTTTGCTTTCACTTTAGACAGAACCTGTTTATGTAAACATTGTGTGTATTTAACAGTATTAGCTTAATAAGACTCGAGAGATAACTTAGTCCAGTATTCAGGCGCTGTTTGACAGGCTTCTAGTGCCTGTGAGCGTCGGGGGGTGTGCGGTCAGGAAAGCGCACGTTAGAACAGCGCATCAGCGCGTGGATTAAATGTTTAACCGACAAGGCTTATGCAAATAATGAACTTTTGTGAATTGCAGTGTCCCGTACCTATTCCTTAACGTGTGATCATGTGTAGGCTACGTCGCGTTGTACAGATGAGACGGAGGCGGCAGAACTGAACTGATAGAATGCACTGTAACACGATACTACGATATTTCTTCAAAAGCAGATCGTGGAGACATTTTAATCGTCCACGATTAAAAATCGTCATATCGCACACCCCTATACAGTACTACAAAATAAAGTGTAACCAATAACTTTATAATAAGATTACATGTATAATATATATAAGGTAACACATGAGACTTTATTGTACAGCTTTACCATTTATTTTGGATCAGTAGTGTTGACTATTTCTTCAAGCTCTCATCATCCATCCGTATATGAAGGAGGGAAAATGAGAGTGTGTCCTCCAGTTAAATTTAGAGCAGGTTTTTCACTTCACAAGACGCCGACGGCTTTTAGCACCCGAGGTGTTGAACACACACATTATAGGTGGGAAAACATTCCCAGCATCCCCTTGGCATGCAGGTCAGCCTAACCGCACAGATAAAGACACGAGGAGGTCAGAGATCAAGTCAAGACCTTGAGTTGGACACCTTGAGTCGGACACGGTCACACACACAGGCTTCTGCACACTACTGTAGACCACCTAACATGGGGATTATTGTTAAACCCGCTGTGAAAGGGAAGTTGTGAATTGACATTATTTGTGTATTTGACTGTTTACAGGAGTAGTTCACTTTAAAAAAAAACTTTTGCTGATAATAAATGTCATCCAAGATGTCCATGTCTTTCTTTCTTCAGTCATAAAAGAAATGAAGGTTTTTGATGAAAACATTCCAGGATTTTTCTCCATATAATGGACTTCAATGGGGTCCAAACGGTTCAAGGTCCAAACGAGAGTTTCAGTGCAGCTTCAAAAGCCTTTAAACGATTTCAGACGACCAATAAGGGTCTAATCAAGTGAAAAGACTGGTCATTTAAAAAAAAAAATAAAAAAAGTTCAAGTTAAGCACAAATTCTCTGTTCTGTGATGCGCGTTCGTGACTCTCCTGTTCGAACTCGTTCATCAAAATGAACGAATCTTTTTTCGTGTCATTTGGTTCATTCAACGAACAAAATGAACGAAATGACTAGGGAAAAGATTTGTTCGTTTTGATGAACGAGTTCGAACAGGAAAAGTAAATTATCAGCAAAAGTTTTTTTTTTTTTAAAGTGAAGTACTCCTTTAAGTGCATTAGAGGCGGCATTATGAGCACATACTTTGGGTGCGAGTACAAAATCTGCGTGAATGAGTAAAATAATGCTAAAATACAAGCCCTGAAACATCAACAATATTCATCCAGAGCAAATGAAAGGAGTGAGTGAGGAGAGGCGGGTTTGTGCGTCACTTGCTGTCGGAGAGACGAGAGAGAAAGAGCAGGTGAAAATGAGTATTGGAACAGTTTCAGATATTTTAATATCGATACTTATCGATTTTTGACAATACTATAAACTACATTGCAATGAAACCGCACACATTTGGTGGGTTGGCATTGATTATTAGCTCATTAGTCTTAAACTAAAAAACCTGCATGTAGAGTGTCACGAAAATGAGTTAAACTAAAGAAAAAACACAGCCTTCCCTGTACAATCCCTCTTACCCTGACAAGACAAACAGCCCGAGGCCTCCGGAGCCCGAACCCAAAACACAGCGGCCACCTCGCTTTCATCTCAATGCACACGGGTCAACACCGTAACGGCGGGTTGAACATAAATAATGCAGCTTACATCTTCACAAAGCCTGTCCGTTTGGAGCGTCTTCTGTTGTGGTAACAGAGAAAGAGAGAGAGAGAGGCTTTAGATTCAGAGATCTTCCCTCATGTAACAGTTCAAACACTGAAGGCCCCAGAACACACATAAATGCCGTCTCTTTCATTCAACGAGCATGTTTGACTGCATGAAACACCTTTGCTTTCTAATGACTATACATCAAGACAAGTAGTTAAACCATTTAGACTAAAACCAACACATAAAAAACAGAGTGAGAGTGACTTCTGAGATTTCATTTCTGTATTCATGACACTACAAGCAAATCCATTGTTTTTTCAGCACTGGTTCATTTTGAGATTTTGGTCTATTTTGCTTCCACGTGGAAATAAAATACACATTTAAGTGTTTATTCCCCGGCATTATGTCGACAGATGAGCTCATTAAAATACACTTTTATGATAGTTTGATTTTAAAGTATATTTGAGACTGTAGACTATATAGATCTGGCTACATGAGACTATAGTTTGAATGAATCCCTTTTCTTGGACAATAACATTTCAGCATATATTCCTGAACATTGTATAATCATTCGTTTGTGACCCGAGTCCTTCACATAAACATCAGTCTACAGACTTTCACACAACCTTGGAAGGTCTCGTTTTTAAAGTTTCATTTACAGACTGGCAATAAAAAAAAAAACAATTAATACATGAAAATTATTACATACAGCCTCTTTAAATGTTTTATATCTATTCTGAAGGTTTCTTTATACATCCCTCCCCTGATTTATACATTTTATTTCTAGAAACATGGTGGAAAATGTGGACATATTTTCTGATTTATGGACTGATAGAAAGAGCAATCAACTTTTGAGAATGTCAACAAAATCTGTGCTGGAAATGAATGGCATTTTTAGTGCATATTTAATTAAACAATGCATCATTTGCATATTTAAACACCTCAGAAAACTTGTAATACGAAAGAAACCACTGTCTTAAGTTATGTAATCACCTAGGAAAGTATGTGATCTCTTAAGTTAAAAATATTACATTATTCACCTGTGCCAAAATATGCAAAAATTGTCATGATTTACTCTGTCATGAACAAAATATGCATTTTAGGACAAGGATACGCTGAATGTTTTGAAATCAAAACTAATTTTGCATCCAGCCTGCAGTCAAGCAACAGACGCTAAAGTTGGATGTAACACACCGAACTCTGATTACTGCCACGACAATGACCTTATATCTTGCCCAGCGGACGCCATCTAATCTGGGCCTGTGGAAAAATCGAGCC